CTGCACGGTCTTACCCTCCACAGCCCACCCCTGCACGGTCTTACCCTCCACAGCCCACCCCTGCACGGTCTTACCCTCCACAGCCCACCCCTGCATGGTCTTACCCTCCACAGCCCACCCCTGCATGGTCTTACCCTCCACAGCCTACCCCTGCATGGTCTTACCCTCCACAGCCCACCCCTGCACGGTCTTACCCTCCATGGGAAGTACTGGTCTTCTAGGCGTCCGATCCCCAAGCATCCTCGGATGTTCTTGCCCCACACAAACAGCTCACCCTTGTCTGCAAAGGAAGGAAGATGAGGGTCTTGGCTGGGGCTACACAAGGAGCAGGCCGTCAAGAGGACGGCTTCCAAGAGTCAGGGACAAGCAGAACCTACTGTCCAACTCAGCCTCTGACCTGAATCTCAGAGAAAAGCACCCTAGAGAAGGTTCCATCCCCAAACCAGGTCCCAGGCCAGGCCTTGGGACAGCCAGCCTAGGGAAGGCAGGTTTTTGTGTGGACAGAGTCCAGGGCTCCCGTGCACAGCCCTCTACCCTCATCTAGATGGCCTGACCCATCTGACCCAGCTCAGCCCTTCCTGAATGACAGTGAGGCCAGTCGACCAGTTCTGCTTGGGTTTCAGTGTGTGGGTGTGCTCTGTGAGGACGCATAGAGAATGTGGGTTCCTAACTGTCGGGTCTGTGTCTGTGTGCTGGGCACTGGGGACAGGGCAGCAACTGACAACCATGCTTCCTGTGCTCGTGCACTTCACCTGCTAGAAGAGCCAAAAATGGACAAATGAACAAACTAATAAACACAATGATTGCACCTTGGAGAAAGAGCTTTACTGCTGAGGTATGCCCCTCACTGGGGGATTCTAGGCAGGGGCTCTACCACTGAGCCACACTCCAGCCCCCTCACTGGGGGAGTCTAGGGAGGAGATCTACTGCTGAGTCACATCTCAAGTCAAAAGACTTTTTTTTTTATTTTCAGAGAGCAGCGCATTACAGATTCACAAATGGGAACTGAAGAGAGTGAAAAGGAGCCATGTCATTTGAGTTAGGCACGGAGGTCAGTTACACGGCAGACCAGAAGTACCAGAAAAAGCAAATGTAGGCTCTGGTGAAGAGAAAAAAAGGCACAGTTAAGCTTTTCTCTCAAGCAGCAGCAAATCCCCTGGGAGTCACTGCAGCGCCGCACACACAGTAACCGCTGTCCAGGGGACTGCAGAGCAGCCGTCTGAACTGAGGCGTGGCAGCAGAGCATGAGGAAGACCACGGTCCAGACGCTTGTGGAGCAACTTGGTATTTCAGGGCTCTACAACCTGTTGGTCAGCCTCCAGCCAGCCGCCTCTGGGTCATCCCTCCCCAGCACCTTGGAGGGTCTGAGCTCTGCTGCCAGTAAGGCAGTCCACTTGGCCAGCCTGCACACTCATGTCTGCGTCGCTCACCCATGCATGGCCCAGACTCTCCTGGTTTTCACTAGCATTCCAGCTAACCCTTCTCCCCACCTACCCCCCAACAGCTGCCTCCCAATGCTCACACTACAGCATAAGCCTGACCACACAACAAAGAACCCAAACCACAGTGCCAGCATGAAAGGAAGGTACATGTCCTTTGACACAGACTAGACTACCTCGTCATGGCCTCCCTCTTTACTTATCCCAAGAAGACATCAATCTATTGGGCGGGCAGACAGATGGACAGATGGGTGGATGGATGGACAGGAGGACAGATGGAGGAAGAGAGGGAAGGATAGAGGACGGATGAATAAAAGGATGGACAGAGATGGGTTAGATACAGATGGTAGAATGGAGGGAAGGGCAGACAGAAGGATGGGTGGATAAATGGATGGCTATAAAGGGATGTAGGTTGATGGCAGAAGCGGAGCGCTATCCCAGTTTGAGAAGGAACAGGTTTTGGCCTGGCTGCCCAGCAGGGTAACTTACTGGTGAGTGCAGCAAAATGGCTAAGCCCACATCGGATCTGGGAAACCTGGACGTCGGGGTTGAACTCCGTCAAGCCAAAGAGCGTGGGTGGAATCATTTCTGGAAGCGCCGTTTCCAAGAGGTTTGGTCCTTTCCCAAGAATCCCATAGCCCCAGACGAAGACATGTCCTTCTTCTGTGTCACAACAAAAACAGCGGGTGTGAGTCAAGGCAAGCAGAGCCCTCCCCTGCTGTGAAAACAACAGGGGCTGGCGTGGGGCTCAGCGGGCAGAGGGCATGCCTAGCATGCACGGAGCCCTGGGTTCCATCCCCAGACCACATAAACCAGGCACGGCAGAGCATGCCTGTAATCCCCGAACTCGGGAGGTGGAGGCAGGAGGATCACCTTGAGATATGTGAGCCACACTGAGCTAGCAGCTTGAAAATTATTCTCTCCCCATTAAATACTTGCCTATGGTTAGGGAGGAAGCCACTCAGAGCAGAAACTCCCACTTTTTGAGAGTAATAGAGGGAGGGAGGGTATAAATAAAACCCACTGGGCACACAAAATCTTGTGGATGCTTTCCCCACCAACAGCACCAAATTTCACACTGATCAGAACCCCATACCAGACACAAGCCATTCTAGCCAGATTCTTTTTTTTTTTTTGATATATTTATTTATATGTATACAGTGTTCTGCCTGCACATATCCCTGCAGGCCAGAAGAGGGCACCAGATCTCATTACAGATGGTTGTGAGCCACCATGTGGTTGCTGAGAATTGAACTCAGGACCTCTGGAAGAGCAGTCAGTGCTCTTAACCTCTGAGCCATCTCTCCAGCCCCTCTAGCCAGATTCTTAAAACTCTTAGACATGAGCCGGGTGGTGGTGCACACCTTTAATCTCAGCACTCGGGAGACAGAAGCAGACGGATCTCTGAGTTCGAGGCTAACCTGGTCTACAGAGAGTTCCAAGACAGCCAGGGCAACACAGAGAAACCCTGTCTCAAAAAAGGAGAAGAAAACAAACCACAAAATATAAAGCTCTTAGAAATGCTTTTTAATTTGCTTTTGGGGGAGTAAAAGTTTTTGGTTTTGCTGTGGGGTGGGTCTGATTTTGTTTTTTAGATTTATTTTATGTGTATGAGTCTTTTGCTCAAATGTGTATCTGTGTACAACATGGGTCCCTGATGCCTGAGAAGGTCAAAACAGGGTACCAAATTCCCTGGACTAGAGGTATGGATGATTGTGAACTGCCATGTGGATGCTGGGAATCGAACCTGGATCTTCTGCAAAAACAAGTGCTCTTAACCACTGAGCCATCTCTCCAGCTCCAGGTGTTTTGCTGAAGACACAGTCTTGCTATATAGCCCAGGCTGGCCTGGATTTATAATCCTCCACCTCAGCCTCTTGAGTGCTGGCAATCAAAGACCTGCACCACCATGTCCAACCCTCCTTTCTTCCCTCCCCCTTTCCTTCCTTCCTCTCAGCACCCCTCCCCCACCCCTCCTGGCCTTCCCTCTTTCTTTCTGGTACAGTGCTAAGCACAGTACCTGGTTCTTACGCATAAGGCTTTACCACTGAACTACTCTGGCTAGAACAAGTGCAAAACTCCTCCCGCTAGGGGCAGAGCGCCGTGACAGAGCAGGGTTTTCATGCGTGAGACCCTGGGCAAGCGGCTCAGTGGTAGAGCCCCTGCTGGAATGAATCCCCCTAGTAAACATAGGGGCCTGCATCTGATCGCCAGCTCCTGATCCAGATGTTTGCTCTAAAATGGCAAAGCTCTCTGGCTGTCTATGCATCTGTATCCTGAGCTCCTAACCTGGCGGGAATCTCACCCCTACCCTGTAATCACTGAATGACAGCAACTAGATGTTCCCATAGGCGCGCTCCCTCTTCAGGGATCTGAAGCACACACACCGGCCCCTTCCCTAGCTCATCTCCCATTGTTTCTCCAGGAGCTGCCGAGAAGTGGCTCTCACCATTTAATACCGCACAGCCCGTGCCACCACAAGCCGCCTGCTTCACCTTGCCCACTTCAGAGAAAGGCAGGCACCGAGGGACATTCACCTGCACCAAAGAAAAGGGCGGGCATGGTTAGGGAAAACAAAGGAGCCAGAAGCAGGAGGAATCCATGGCTAACGTCCCAGCTCACTCATTAACTCCACAAAGGTTTCCCCAGTACCTCTCATCACTAAGCTTCCTAACCAAGGGCTTAGGACACAGAAGGGAGCCAGAAGCCAGTTCCCCTCTTCTGGGAGGCAGGTGTCAATCAAACTCAGCACCTTGTTCCATTTGTGCTAGCCCGAGGTGTGGAGAGCATTTCCAGGAGTCTCTAAGAGGCTGGCCTGACATGGGGGACAGGGAGGGGAGGGTGGGAGGGGTCCCTTTTCCTGAGCTCTGAAGGGTAAGAGGGGGTAGCTAGGCAAGGGGATAAGGGAGCATCCTCCAGTGGGAAGAGATGCACCAAGGGAACAGGACAAGCACAGCCCACTCTAAGAGGTCAGGACTGGCCAGGTGTGGTGGTGTACACCTTTAATCCCAGCACAGGAGGCAGAAGCAGGTGGATCTCTGTGAGTTTGAGGCCCTGGTCTACATAGAGAGCCCCAGACCAGCCAGCATTATGAATTAAAACCCTAAAAAAAGGAGAAAAAGAAAATGATATAGGCATGATGGCACACACTTTTAAGCCCTGCCCTCAGGATGCAGAGGCAGGCAGATTTCCGTGAGTTCAAGGCCAGCCTGGTCTACCTAACAAGTTCCAAAACCATTAGGGATACATAGTGAGAACCTGTCTCAAAATTAAAGTTTTAAAAAAAGAAGAGAGATATCAAATGGTTTTTAGGAGTGTCTGCTGCTCTTCCTGAGCACCCAAGCTCAGTTTCCAGCACCCACATCTGGCAGCTCACAACTGCCTGTAACTCTAGCTCCAGAGGATCCAACACTCTCTACCAGCCTTCAAGGTCACCTACACTAACATGCACAGACCTACACAGATACAACTCAGACACATAAATACATCTTTTAAAACAATGTTTAAAAAAAAGGAAGCCCGGTCAGCAGGACAAGCAGGGCACTGTGAACCACTGTATGATGTGAACCACTGTATGATGTGAACCACTGTATGATACGGTCCTTGCCATGTTTGAATCTGAAATGGCCCCACAGGCTCTTGTGTTGTACTGGGTGTTCGTGGTCTTGGTTGGTTGGTTGTTTCGAAACAGGGTCTCTCTCTATAGCTTTGGCTGCCCAGGAGCTCACTCTGTAGACCAGGCTGGCCTTGAACTCACAGAGCCCCTGCCTCTGCCTCCCGAGTGCTGGGATTAAAGGAGTGTGACACCACATCCCTGGCTCAGCTGAGGTTTGGAAACTTACTCCCCAGCTCGTGGTGTTGGAATATGGTCCAAGAAGGGGGCTGTGTGAGAATTCTAAATGCTTGTGGGAAAACAAGCGTCTTGTGACCTCAGTTTCTTCAAAACAGAACTGTTCTTGGAATGTGTTTTTGTGTTCCTCCCAGATACAGCAGATGAAAGTGAGTTACTCATATGCCTCTAGGGAAAACATGGTTTTGCCACATACAGTTTATCCCTGTGATTGTACACTTTACTCAGGCAACTCTTCCTAACCCTCTGAGTAGAAACTGTCCGATGCTCTGAATAAAGCTGGCTATTGCGTAAGACTTTATAGTCCGCCTCACTTTAGACTCCATTCTCCCAGGCCATGCCACCAACTAGATCAGTCAACGGTGGTGCTGCTTTGAGGGCTGGGAACTTTTAGGAGGTGGAACCTGGCTAGTAGGAGGGCAGCAGAGGCTTGCCTTTGACGGTTACGGCCCGACCCCTGACCCCTGACCCCATGCTCCTGGGTGTGGTGGCTCATACCTGCACTATTCTGCAACTACAGTCTGAGACCCTGTCTAAAAAAAACAAAAAAAAGGAAATAAATAAAAATAAGAGTTGCTGAGATAAACCCATTCACTGCCAAGCTTGACTACCTGCGTTCAACCCCAGGAACCAACATGACACCAGGAGAGAACTCACTCCGACAAGCTGTCCTCTGACCACACACACCAGGGCACACAGACACACAGAGTCTAAACAAACAAGTGTAAAGAAGTTAAAATAAGCTGAGTGTGATGGTGCACACCTTTGACCCCAGCACTCAGAGGGCAGGCAGACCAGCTCAAGACCAGCCTGGTTTACATAGCAAGTTCCAGAACAGCCAGGGCTACACAGAGAGAGATCCTGTCTCAGAACAAAAATAAGAAATCAAAATTGTATTGGCCACTTCCACAGTGGCTCCCAGGGGTCTGGGCCTCCTGCTATCCACACCCACGGGTGATCTTGGGCGTGGGCTAACACAGGTGACTTGTTTCTACTGAACAAATTCCAGAAGTGAGGGACTATCACTTCAAATGATCCACCATGGAATTCGGCCTCAATGGCCCGCTCACCTGCTCATCTAATGGAGGCAGCTGCCACACTGTCAGCAACCCCTCTCCTCCAGAGTGAAGAGACACACACGGCGAGGAATCCAGAAAGCTCTGGCCAGCAGTTAGCAAATGGCCAAGCCCCAGTGAGGCACCAGGGCCTCGGTCCAGCAGAGAGCCTGCATCCTGACAACCACCAGCAGAGGAAGGCTGGAGACAGCTCCCTTCCAGGGAAACCCCACAATGACTGTAACTTTATCAGGCTCAGGGACAAGAAACCTGCTGCCCCTGCCAGGTTCCTGACCCAGCATTACATAAAAAATGTGAAGTGTTGGGAATGCAACTCAGTGGTATAGCACCCACCTACTGCACTCGGGGTCCTGGGTGCCATTCCCAGGACCACAAAAACAAGAACAGGCCAGGGCAGAGAAACAGAATCAGACGTGACAATGTCAGCCATTAGCAGTGTGAGCTTTGGGGGATGATAAAGATGCTCTGGGAGTTTGACAGGAGTAAAACCTTTGCAAGAGGAGTGTTAGCTTTTTCTTCAAATTTTTAGTGTTTGCTTATATGTTTTTCTTCTTTTTTTTTTTTTTTTTTGGTTTTTTTCGAGACAGCATTTCTCTGTGTAGTATTGGTGCCTGTCCTGGCTCTCACTCTATAGACCTGGTCTCGAACTCAGAGATCCGCCTGGCTCTGCCTCCTGAGTGCTTAAAGGTTTAAAAGTGTGCACCACCACCAACCAGCCATAAATGTTTTTGTTTTGTTGTTTCCTTTTTCTTTTTGTTTGTTTTTAATTTTACATTCATTGGTGTTTTGCTTTCATGTATGTCTATGTAAGGGTGATGGATCCCCTGGAACTAGAGTTACAGATAGTTGGAACTGCCGGGTGGGTGGATGCTGGGAATTGAACCCAGGATCTCTGGAAGAGCAGCCAGTGCTCTTAACTGCTGAGCCATCTCTCCAGCCCCATGTTTGTATGTTTGTATGTACACAAACAGTTTCTCTGTGTAGCTCTGGCTGTCCTGGATCTCGCTCTGTAGACCAGGCTGGAATCGAACTCACAGGGATCCACCTGCCTCTACCTCCCAAGTGCTGGGATTAAAGGAGTGCTCCACCACTGTGAGCTGTTCAATTTTTATTAATTTACTTTATGTATCTATTTATTATTGCGTGTGTATATACACATGCACACGACACAGAGCACAATGGAGGTCAGAGGACAACTCGTGAGAGTCAGATCTCGGTTGTCAGTGGAGATCAAACGCAGGTTGTAAGTCTTGGTGGCAAGTCCCTCTATGAGCCATGTCACCAGTCTGTAAGCTCTGTAAATGAACCAAAACCTACTAATCTGAATCAAAAAGATATTATGTTGAGGAAAAAATTACTAAATTGGGCTGGAGAGATGGCTCAGAGGTTAAGAGCACTGGCTGTTCTTCCAGAGGACCTGAGTTCAATTCCCAGCAACCACATGGTGGCTCACAACCACCTGTAATGAGATCTGGTGCCCCCTTCTGACCTGCAGGGATACATGCAGGCAGAACACTGTATACCTAATAAATAAATAAATAAATCTTTAAAACAATAAATAAATAAAAATTACTAAATTGCACACACTTCATATTTGTGAATAACAATTTATAAATTATACTGGGCATGGTGATACACACCTTAAATCCCAGCAACTGGGAGGCAGAGGCAGACGGATCTCTGAGTTCAGCTAGCCTGGTATACAGTGAGAATTCCAGAACAGCCAGGGCTACTAAAAAAAAAAAAATTTAAACACCAAGAACTGGCCATAAGCAAGTAACATCAGTGATGAATAGAAAAGTATTAGTTATGGACTGGAACAGCTCAGTTGGGAAAGTGCTTACTATGCAAGTATAAGGACCTGAGTTCTAACTCGTGCCCAGAACCCACACACACAAAGAGCTGGGTGTGAGGGTCTGCTCTTGTAATCCAAGCACAGGGGAGGTGGACACACGTCAGTCCCAGAATCCAGCCAACCTAGCCTAATGAATGAGCCCCAGGTCTCAGGGAGGGACCCTGTCTCAAAAAAATAAGGTGGCCAGGCGGTGGTGGCCCACGCCTTTAATCCCAGCACTCAGGAGGCAGAAGCAGGTGGATCTCTGTGAGTTGGAGGCCAGCCTGGTCTACAGAGTGAGTTCCAGGACAGGCACCAAAACCATACAGAGAAACCCTGTCTCAAGAGGAAAAAAAAAAAAGGTAGATGGCTTCTGGGGTCTTCTGAGGTACAACTGAGGTTGTCCTCCGCCTACAGATACACACACACACACACACACACACACACACACACACACACACATTCATATATATAAAACACAACAAAAAAAGAAAGATGTTACAAACAATCTCTACTTTTTGTTTATGTTCAAAATCATCCTTAATAAAATGCTAAAGCCAGTCAGGCATAGCAGCACACACTTGCCATCCCAGAACTGGGGAGACTGACCATGAACCAGAGGCCAGCCTCAGGTATAGCCTTTATGTTTAGGGTCTGCATGCTCTGGAAGCTGTATTTTCTTTTAACTTGTTAAGGCGGGGTCTCATGTAGCCCAGGCTGGCCTCAAGGGCAGCTGAGATGCCCTTGAACTCCTCCTGCCTCCAACTCTTGAGTGCTGGGATTACAGGAGTGCATCTCCACACCCAGCTTGTTCTGTTGTCTCACTATGCAGCCCAGGCTAACTCCCAGCTTGTCACCAAGCCTTACTACACACATGCTACACTAAGACAGAGGCACTCTAGGCCATCGTGGGCACATGCATACACTGCCTCATATCCCTGTTAGAAATAGGTGGGGGGAGCCAGGTGGTGGTGGCACACGCCTTTAATCCCAGCACTTGGGAGGCAGAGGCAGGCGATCTCCAAGAGTTCAGGCCAGCCTGGGCTACAGAGGGAGTTTCAGAACAGCCAAGACTATATAGAGAAACCCTGCTTCAAATCACCCCCATCCCAAAAAAAAAAAGAAAGAAAGAAAAGAAAAAGGAGGAGAGACAAACTTAATGCACTGTCTTAGCGGGATGTGGTGTCTCTTGCCTGAAATGGCAGCACTCAGGAGGCAGAGGCAAGAGATGTGCTACAATTTGAGGCCAGCCAGATCTGTGGAGCAAAAACAGTCTCAAAGCACGCACATCCTAGCTAGAGATGGCTCTGTGGTTAAAGTGCTTACCTGCAGCATGAGGTCTGGAGACTGGATAACCAGAACCTATATACATGCCAGGCAGGCCACAGCATGAGGACTGGAGACTGGATCCCCAAGAGGCTGCCTGTGACTCCAGCCTCTGAAGGTCAGCATAGGGGATACCCAGAGTGAGCCAGCTGGCATGATACCTTTATTGACAAGCTCTGGGTTTGGTTAAGAGTCCCTGCCTCAATCAATATGATGGAAGAATAATCAACCACAGGCCTCCATGTGTGCATGTGCACACATGCAAAACACGTACCCACACCACACCCACACACAAATGAAAAGCACACAAAAACAAAACAACACTGTCTTAAACCAGGACCAGCCAGTCACAGTGGCTTCCCATCTACTCTTCTTTGGCGGCTCTGAGGAGACTGCAGAGCAGAGGCGGTGACACCAGGCTACCCCTGAAGCACAGCTCTACGGCGAAGCCTCCGCTCCCACTGGTTACACACCTGAGTGGAGTCTGTGACCGAGGCCAGCTGCAGGTACTCAGAATTTCCCCAGCCAAAGATACCGCCATCGGAGGACACGGCCAAGCAGCAATCACCGTAGGTGGCAACCTGGACAACCGTCACCCCAGCAAGGTCTCCGGCCAGCTTGGTGGGTGTGCTGGTGATGTTGTAGTGACCGAGGCCTGGCACAGTAGGAAACATGCATTAGCTCACAGACACAGGAGACTTAGGGAAGGACAGGCACGTGGGGGGCGCTTTGCACCCAAACCAAGAGGACAAACAACAAAGCCGTACCTGGTATATTTTAAACACCCTAGGAACGTTCAGGTCTAAATCAAGTTGAAAGACTGATGACAGGAAGATCATGAGTTCTAGGACAGCCTGGGTACATTGTGAGTTCTAAGCCAGCCTGGTCTATACTGTAGTTCCAGGACAGCCTTAGAAACAGACCCTCAAGCCAGGTGGTGGTGACACACGCCTTTAATCCCAGCACTCGGGAGGCAGAGCCAGGCGGATTTCTGTAAGTTCGAGGCCAACCTGGTCTACAGAACAAGATTCAGGACAGGGACCAAAGCTACACAGAGAAACTGTGTCTCGAGGAAAAAAAAAAAAAAAAAAAAGGGAAAAGAAACAGACCCTCAACAGATGTGGCAGTGCCCACCTTTATTCCCAGCACTTGGGAGGTAGAGGCAGGAGGTGTCTGTGAATGCAAAGTCAGCCTGATCTACATAGCAAGTTTTAGGATAGCCAGGACTAGATAGAAAGACCCTGTGTCAAAAAAGAAAGGAAGGAAGAAGAGAGAGCAAACCCTCACAACCCCCAAAAGGTAAGTCGGAAAATCTTGGATAGAGCTTTGAGTTTGCATAAATGACCAGCAGTTCCTGCCTTTCTTCCATTGGCTGTTTTGGGGTGGTAGTGCTGGGATGGAGCTACCAGCGCGCTCCATCCCAGCCCCATAAGGAGCATTCCCTGGCCTTGCTGGGGCTACAGACACCAGGCACAGTGGCATGCACCTGTGGGCTCGTGTACACGTAGGCTCAGCAGACTGAGGGAAGAGGCCACTGAGACCAGGAGGGAGAGACCACCCAGACAGCATGAGACCCTGCTGGGCCACCAGCCAAAGCTCAGCACTGACCCACAGACTCCTGAGTAAACCAGGATCTCAGAGGAGCAGAAGCCCTGGCACCAGGCCAGGGCCAATGAAATGCCTTCCAGAGGAATGATCGCTAATGCAGGGCCTGGAGGTTCCCACAAATTACACTCAATAAAACACGAGTTCACAATCCAGTCACTGAGCCCCTGAGGGGATCGAGTACTGCTAGCAGGAGTCAGCAGAGGCAGCAGACGAGCCTGCTCCTCCAGACTCCAGTCACTGGGATGAATGAGGCCCCGGGCTCCGCTACTGACAACAGTGCTGAGGGACCTCTGGTACCTTCTTGGTTTGTTTCTATGGAAACCAGCAGCAAAAGGAACCGGAAAGGACGCAAAAGACCCAAATCTAGACCATGAGCCCTACAGCCCACAATTGCTGCAGAGGCCACAGGCCAAGATCTTTCACCTCCCCAAGGGGGCAGCAAGCACCTACCTGTCTGTCCATCGGCACCCCATCCACAAGAATAGACTTCCCCTCTGTCTGTGAGGAACAGGCTGTGGTCCTGACCACAGACAACCTGGCAGACACAGAGACACAGTGCTGTTAGAGCCTATGCACTGGGGGAGGGGGGCGGTGGAAGGCACTGGGGGACTGGATCAGGTGGACCTGCCCCTCATCACCCTCACAGCTTACTCTCTCCATCAGCTCTTCCCTCCTCCACCCCCACACTGAGCTCCCATCTGCCCCTCCCCACCTTCCCTCTGTAACCTCAGCCCCTCCATCACCTTCCCTGTTGGAATGGCTGTCTCTTGCCCCTTCACACTTCTCTGGAAGGCACTGTCCACCCACACCCCAGGCTTCCTTGCGGCCCCACACCGCATTATGTCTGCAGGACAGTAAGATACCACGCTTCTTTTCCTAACTCACAGGACAGTTGTTCTACCAGGAGCCGTGCTATGGCAACATACAGTCGAGACGCCCTAGCACAAATGGAACCACCGAAGTATGATGACTTACCCAAGTCACTCAGCAAGGAAATGGAGAAGCAGGGACTTGAACTCACATTCGCTATGGCACTGTGAAGCCAGTTCAAGAAGAACTCCACTCTACTGCAACCTGAGTACTAAGCCTGCTACATACATCCCCTTCACGTCTACCCAGCTCCTACATTCTAGCATCAGTTCTGGCCTCTGGTAAGTTAATTAATTTCTACTAATCTCTTCATCCAGTGTCCTGGCTAGTTTTAGGTCAACTTGACACAAGCCAGTCTTCAAAGAAGAGGAAGCTTCAATTGAAAAAATGCCTCTAACATAAGAATGGGCTAAGCTTGGCATGGTGGGGCACATCTTTAATTCCAGAACTCGGGAGGCAAAGGCAGGCAGATCTCTGAGTTCAAAGCCAGCCTGGGCTACAGAGTGAGTTCCAGGATAGGCAGGGTTACATAGACAAACCCTGT